GTGTGTGTGTGTGTGTGTGTGTGTGTGTGTGTGTGTGTGTGTGTGTGTGTGCAGTACAGAGTGCCCCCTGCCAATCACTGAATCGTGCCCTGGCCCCAGGGTGCGAAGGGGCCTCCTCCTGCTGTCCGGGGGGGCTGTGCAGAGTCGGGCCCACAGGTGTTTGATGGGTTGCAAGAGACCAGAGGGCTGGGCACTGACACTCAGTGCTCAGAGTGGATCAGGGTCCTGTCTGCTACTGGCTCTTGGCTGCACTGGGCCTGTGAGCTGGCCAGCGCTCTGCACGGGCCATGCAACCACAGCTGCCATGTGGGCTGCAGAGCTGTGACCCAGACCCTGCGAGGGCTTCCCACCCGCAGCTGTGAGCTGCTAGGGCAGCGCAGTGGGAGCAGAGAACAGGTTGCTGACCGGCTCTTTAAATGCACTGTGCTAGAGCATGGCTAGAACATGAAAACACCTGTCCGCCCCGCTGCCAGCTGCTGAGCTCTCCCCTGCTGGCTTCACTCGTCTCCATCTTGTCTCCAGACTGGGTGCTCCACTTGGGGCACCGAGGGGCCATTGTAACTGAGAACTGGCTTTGTGGCTATCAAACAGAAGCTGCTACGTTACATTGAGTCACTGATACCAAGGCCAGAAGGGACCATCGTGATCCTCTCGTCTAACCTGCTGTATAGCACCGGCCAGAGAACTGCCCCAAAATCATTCCTAGAGCAGAGCTTTTAGGGTCTGTCTACACAGCAAGAAAAACCCGCAGCTGGCCCATGCCAGCTGTGGGGCTGTTTCATGGCTGTGTAGACGTCCGGGCTCAGGTTGGAGCCTAGTCTCTGGGACTCTGCAGGGTGGGAGGGTCTTGGAGCCCAGAAGTCTACATGGTGATAAAACAGCCTGGCAGCCGGAGCCCCATGAACTCGAATCAGCTGGGACGGGCCAACCGTGGGGTTTTGTTTCCCGTGTAGACAGACCCTTAGGAAAACAGCTGATCTTGACTGAAAAATTCAGTGCTGGAGAATCCACCTGGACCGTTAGTAAATTGTTCTAGTGGTTAATTACTCACTGTTAATTACTCTCACTGCAAAATTTCCAGTCTGAATTTGTCTAGCTTCAACTTGCCGCTATTGGATTGTGTTGGAGTTTTCTCTGCTAGAGTAAAGAGCCCATTACCAAATATCTGTTCTCCATGTAGAGCTACAGACTGTGAGCAAGTCACCCCTGGGCGATCTCTTTGTGAAGCTAAATAGATGGAGCTCTTTGAGCCTATCACCATGAATCATGTTTTCCAGTCCTCCAGTCATTCTCCTGGCTCTTCTCTGACCCCTCTCCAATTTATCGACATCCTGCTTGAACTGTGGGCACCAGAACAGGACACAGGATTCCAGCAGTGATCGCACCAGTGCCAAACCTGGAGGTAAAATCACCTCCCTGCTCCTACTCGAGATTCCCGTTTATGCATCGTAGGATCACATTAGCTCTTTTGGCCACAGCGCTGCACTGAGAGTTCATATTCGTCTGATTATCCCCTCCTCTGCCCCCCAAAAGCCTTTTCAGTGTCACTGCTCCCCAGGACAGAGTCCCCCAGCCTGTAAGTACGGCCAACGTGTTTGCTCTTAGATGTCTACATTTACATGTAGCTGTATTAAAATGCATATGGTTTGTTTGTGCCCAGCTTACCAAGTGCTCCAGATCACTCTGTATCAGTGACCCGTCCTCTTCATTATTTACCACTCCCACAATTATTGTGTCAGCTGCAAACTTTATCAGTGATGATTTTATATTTTCTTCCGGATCATTGATACAATTCATCAATAGCATAGGGCCAAGGACCAATCCCTATGAGACCCCACTAGAAACACAGCCACTTGATGGTGAGTCCCTAGTTACAAATACATTTTCAGACCTATCCATGTAATGTGGGCTGTGATACGTTTATATTGTTCTAGCTTTTTAATAAAAATGTCATGTGATACCAAGTCAAATATCTTATAGAAGTCTAAATATGTTACATCAACACTATTACCTTTATCAACCCAACTTGTAATCTCATAAAAATATAAAATTAGATTGACAGGATCTATTTTCCATAAACCCATGTTGATTGGCATTAACTATACACCTCTACCCCGATATAATGCGACCCAATATAACATGAATTCGGATATAACGCGGTAAAGCAGTGCTCCGGGGGGAGGGGGGGACGGGGCTGCGCACTCCGGCGGTTCAAAGCAAGTTCGATATAACACGATTTCACCTATAACGCGGTAAGATTTTTTGGCTCCCGAGGACAGCGTTATATCGAGGTAGAGGTGTAGTACCCTCCTTTAATTCTTTATTACTCAAGTCTTGTATCAGCTGCTCCATTATCTTGCCCGGGATTGATAGACTGACTGGCCTATAACTGCCTGGGTCATCCCATTGTCACATTAGCTTTCTTCTAGTCTTCTGGAACTTCTCCAGTGCTCCAGGAGTGATTGAAAATCAACATTACTGGTCCAGAGAGCTCCTCAGTCGCCTCTTTTAAAACTCCTGAATGCAGCTCTCCAGTTCTGCTGACATGAAAACAGCCCATTTTAGTAGCTGTGGTTTAACATCCTCCTGAGACACTAGTGAAATGGAACGAGTGTCAGCACCATATGATATGACTACATCATGTTTTTTCTCCAAATACAGAACAAAAATATTTACTGAACACTTCTGCCTTTTCTGCATTATTATTGATAATTCCACCATTTCCATCTAGTAATGGACTAATACCATTGTCAGGATTCTTTTAGTTTCTAATATACTTAAATAACTCCTCCTTATTGTCTTTAACTCTGTTGGCCATAGATTTCTCCTTGTGTCCCTTTGCTTCCCTTATCAATTTGTGAAAATTCCTAGCCTCTGACTGATATACATTGGCGGTGTTTGCAATCCCATTCGTTGGCTGCAAAGGCATACTTTGTTTGCAGGAATGTTTACACAGAGCAAGAGGCCCCAACCCATTGGGCCCCCGGTGCAGAGCTGAGGGGCCCTGACACATGGGGCGGTGGGTGCAGAGCAAGGGGCCCCCAGCCTATGGGTGTTCACACAGCTCTGTGCAGCTCCCTGGGAATCATTCTCCCTCCTCCTGCTGCTAAAAGAGTTGGTTTCCTGATTGTGGACTGTGTGGCTTGGGTGAGCCGCCTCTCATCACTGAGCTAATCAGAGACCCCAGGGGCAGGGCAGGGGGATGGTTTGTGAGTGTCCCATGGGCTGAAACGCCCTCGCCAGGCAGGTTAGAAGACGACACAAGTGCGTAACAATCCCAGCCAGTCTGTGGCTAATTCCCAAGCAGAGAAACAGGGACGCCCGTTGTTGACTGAGCCCCTGCTCCCAGTGGCTGGCCCGGCCCGGCTGCCTGAGGCTCCCGTATCCTCTGTGTGGGCTAGTTCGCACGGGGCCCTGCAAAGGAGACTGCGTCACTGCTCGCTGCAGTCCAGGGCTGGCAAAGGTGGGCAGCAGAGCACCGGGGAAGGGGTGACTCAGCCATCAGCTATGGGCATATGTAGCGTGAGAGTCATTGTCTTCCTGCAATTAGCCAAACACCCTTTCAACATGGCATTAACAAGATCATACAGGGAAATGTGTCGGCAGTGCTCAGACAAAGCTGGCGGCATTAACCTGCTGCTGGTTCTGTCCTTCCCAGGGAGTGACACCGGCTCCCCGGGCCCTCAGCCTGGCGAGGATACCCACGCGAGGCACAGAGCCCCCCAGCTAGCGAAGTGAGTTTTGTGCCCCAGTAGCAGCTGCGAGGTTTGTTCTCTTCTTGCTCCCAGGTCCTTTTGGATCTGATCTGTGCTCATGGTCATGGAAAACTAAGAGAGGAACATCTCCCACTACCTGCATCCCAAGTGACTGACTGCGCCCCGGCTCCTGCACTGCGCTGACCAGTCTCTATGGTATTAGGTTGATTATGGGATAGTGCAGAGAATTCTCCTCACCCCTGCCATCCTGCCGCTTTGGAATATACCCGTGCAGAGACCAAGGAGAAATGGAGCAGAGAAATCAGCTGCTACAATATTTTATTGTTTAGTGCTGTTAGGTTTAAGTTGAAGATTTTCAGACGTTCCTATCGTTCAGGTACAGAATGATACAGACAGACGTGTTTGGGAGCAGATGACAGAACAGCAGTTTGCTTTCAAAAGGACGAATTGTCCATTTTCATTTCTAAACCATTAAGTACCAGCTTTTCCATAACAATGAATCATCCAGTCTCTGTGTATAAAATTAAATATAATTTATGCTTTGCTAATGGAAATCAAATACAAAATTCAATCTCCTGTGTGTCGTAATGCTGACATTTAAATAGTAAAAAAAAAAAGTTAATTAACCCAACTCCCTCCTAGCAGGTTGCTCCCTCTCTCGCTGGAGAGAAAATAACTCCTCGGTCACATCAGCACATTACAAAGCCGGACACTTGTCACTGACTGCGCGGGTGTGCAGGGACAAAAGTCACCATCTCACCCAAGCCGACAAAGCCATATCGCCGCCTCTTGATGGCTGGTCGTGCCAGGCCTCCCGTTCCCAAGAGCAACAGCAAACAGCATCATGTGTGGTGCTAGAGAACCTGAGTCTCTCCTGGCTTCTTGATTTCTTAGCCGGCCATTAATGTTCACCAGAGGCCTAGCTCCAGAACAGGCCTGCAGACGAGCAATGCAGTTGGAAAAGTGCAGGAGCAGCACATCCCCTTTGCTGGAGTCAGTAAGCGCCACCTCCTGAGCGCAGGGAAGTAACCCATATAAAAAATAAACCTCTTAAAATATGGCAAAAAGAAGACTGGGCAAGAAGCCCCGGTGGCGCCGCATCCCCTGGGTGCAGACAGGTCCAGTTCTATTGTAGCAGCCAAATGGGACCTGCCTCCAGAGCGTCTCACTGCAAGAACACGCAGCTTTGTAACCGTTTCCATTGCTAGCGGCTGGGCGGGCGAGCTGGCGGGGGTAAAGCAAGCTCCTTCCAGAGGGTGGCGAAGGGATGCAGCATTAAGCACAGGTGGCCTACAATGGCCCCGCTCTGCTGTCTGAATCCTGGCTCAGCGTTTTGTTGCTGTTCTGGGAATACAGCAAACAGGTTGGGGGTGACTGTCCTTCATCCAGGTGCAAACTGGAGCTACGTCTCCTGCCCAGCTATGGGCCAAAAGCTTTCACCAATCCACAGAACCACAGCGTCAGCGGCACGTCTTGCCTCAAGTCTCTTTTCCTTCCAGGAATGGGCCTGTGAAAAGAGCAGCCAAAGACCACAAGCAATCCGCGGCCTCCGCTGTCCTGGCTGATCCCAGGTGGCCCCTCACTAGGGAGCAGCACAACACGCTGGCTTTTTTAGGGTTTTTAAAATATGCAAAGAACATTTTTGGTGTGGTTCAGGCAGGGGGGTGGTGGTCCTATGGGGGCCTCTGAGCTCAGTAGGGTCTCGTGTGGGAATGAAAAGCTCCCCCTTTCTCAGGTTGTTGCTAAGGGGTGGGCAGGCCGCCCCAGCACAGCTGTGGTTCACACGGCGTTGTTCCGACTGCTAATGAAACCACTGTCAGGAAAATGAACTTTTTAATCCTCTTTGGCAAAGATCAGTTGAAAGGGCTTGATCCTGCCAGGTGCTGAGTGCCCTGGAATAGGTTACCTAGGGAGGTGGTGGAGTCTCCTTCCTTAGAGGTTTTTAAGGTCAGGCATGACAAAGCCCTGGCTGGGATGATTTAGTTGGGGATTGGTCCTGCTTTGAGCAGGGGGTTGGACTAGATGACCTCCTGAGGTCCCTTCCAACCCTGATATTCCATGATTCTATGATTCCCCGTGCTGACGGGCAACCTCGTATTTCCAGGCGGGGCTCAGCATCGGGCAGGAGTGAGACCAAAACGAGCTCAGAGTTTGCGGGGCCTGTGAAATAAGAAAAGGCTTCGGGTGTCCATGTAAGCAGGACCCTAGAAATTGGGAAGATTTTAAAAAAATTCCCTCCATCTGAAGCCATGAATCATTTTGCACGAAATGGCAAAACAACCCAGCTTTCATTTAGCAGAAGAAATAATGTTTTAATAACATCTGAAACAACTGAACTCCCCCCCCCCTTACTACATATTGCCAGTGTTTGTACAATACATTTCTCGGTTTGCAGGTCGGTGAGAAAGTGTTTTATGTCAGATGCTGTTTTAAAACCTAATCAGGCTAATATGAACTGACATTTACGTCAGTGGGAACGAATGTGATTCTCCCCAAATCTGGCCCACAATCGAAATCTGACAAATGAATTTAGCTCCTTTTATACAACCCAAAGCACTAGCACCACTTTATTGTGTAATGAACCACATGACAGGCCATGAAACCCAAAGCAGGTTCAGCTGTTACCTAGCTTCACGGTGTTTTAGTGACATTTCCTTTGGTTAGTTGGATCAACAAGGATTTCTTGCCACCTTAATCAAAACCGAGCCTTGGTCTTGCTCAGGAATACATAAGCTGTGTTTTCTTGCTGCTTTCAAACAGCAACAAACGCAACATCTCAAAGGAGCACTGAGGCTTGATAAAAATGAAACGCCTTCCCTCCTCCCCCGGCAAAAGCAGGCCCCACTGCTGCTCTTTTTACACAGTAAATAAAAGGAAAAGAAAAGAAAAGAAAAGAAACCCCAGACAGCAAGAAATCACCCAAAGGAAGGAAATGTTCCCTCACAGGTAACACGGTGTTTTCCTTTCGTGCCCACTGTTCCTGGGTTTTTCTCAGGAAGAGACATGGAATATAGTGCAGCTGTGTCAAACGGCTGCTACCTTGTCTTTGATCCAGGCATGCAGCTCGCTTCGGATTTGCTGAGGTTCTAGGAGGTAGGGTGACCAGACAGCAAATGTGAAAAATCGGGACAGGGGGTGGGGGGTAATAGGAGCCTTTATAAGAAAAAGACCCAAAAATTGGGACTGTCCCTATAAAATCGGGACATCTGGTCACCCTAGGAGTGACAGGTGCTTATCTTATCATTTCCATCGGGATTTGCCAATTTGGTTGATCATAAATCTTTGTCATTTCCACTCGGGAAGGAAGCTTTCTCCAGGGCAGTGAGCGCTCGCTCGGTGGAAATGACCTTTTCTCCTCTTTGCAAATTTTGAAGCAAAGATGAAGAATGTCTCATGGTTTTGCAAACCCAGCTGAGCCCTGATTTTCAGAAGTGCTGAGCACCCACAGTCCCACCGGCTTGCATCCCCGGTCCCACCGGCTTGCACCCACGGTCCCAGGGACTTCAGTGGCATTTGTGGCTCTCCGCATTTTTGAAGGTCAGGCCGGTGTCTGGATTTTGCACACCACTCTAGATACGGGGATGAGGTTTTACTCAGTAGAGGATCTCCTTCTGGGCTCATGGCTACCTAGCAAAGAACGAAAAAGTTGCCTATAATAACAACCTCAACTGCCATCTGCTATGCAGGGAAGCAGCGGGTTTCCAGAATGATTGAGAAATGCCATTTCATTACCTGCCCGCAGGAAGAGCTGTGAGCGGGACACTGCACCTTCTGCTAGGAGACTGTGCAACGCGTCCAGGCCAAGCTTTCTGGGATGGATCCCATGAGATCATTCGCAGCTGGCTCCTTAGGTACCAGTGGTTTTTACTGCGTGATCATCTAACGGAGCATATGAGGACTTAGCGGGAAAGCCTGGATTCCGGCCTCACTGCAGACCAGAGGAAATCAGAAGCAACTCTGGTCAGTTAATGGAGTTACACCCCAAAGTGAGAAAAGACTCCGGCTCAGGATATTTGTGGCATTTGGTAAGTGGTAGCTAGTGCAAGGTGTAACTAGTATGCAGGTGAAGGGTCTGTAAATAGTTCCTTTGCAGCTTTGCTGTTTGTGTGTGTGTGATCTGACACCTGACTGCCAGCAAGGCAAAACTAAAGTAGTGCAGAAGAAATGGAATCTGTCGGCTCGCCTTGTCGCTATTGGGATTCTATAAGCTTCCCTCATGCTTTGTTGGCCGTGGGTAGGACTCACTGAATTCTGACTGGCTGGCGCTGACAGGAAGCACCAGGAACAAAGTGCTAGACACCGGTAGCCTCCCCTGTCCCACCGGAGCCTCCCCCAGCCATTCTTGCAATACAATACAGTGGGAGGGCTTGGAACAGACCCAAATGCAACCTGGGCTCGCTGTGACAGGAAGGTTTCAGAGCTGGAAATGCTGTTCAGCTTGACTTTAACCTTGACAATGCAAGTCTCTTTGTCACAAGACTGAGACTTTAGCCCTGTGCAAGTTTAGTGTCTCTGACAACGATTCACCTCTAGATAGAATCTACAGAGAGCTTTTTCCCTGCTGTCTTGGCTTTACTTATCACTTTCTTCCTGTTCCCACTGGAAATCTTGACCTGTCATTTGGTAAAACATGACATTGAATGGTTTGTAAAACTTGCGCAGTCTGTGGATAACATCTGGGTCTATTTTGGGATGAGTTCGACCCTTGGACTTGCCCAGGCACCTGGGGGCGCTGCTGTCCTCTGGCTTCTTCAAACAAGGAAACCCCTTGGTTTTATTGAAATAAAAATGCTTCTCTGTCACAATCCTTTTGAGGCCTAAGAAATCCTGGACCTTGGCCATTTCCCCAGCTGGGTCAATAATTAACCGTTCGCCGCTGACAAAGAGGATCTGGGAAAGTGGGAAGTACTGCAGCCAGTTCTCCAGGTGCAGCGCATAGATCCCAATGCGGATGGCGCTCCAGGAGGCATCGATCAGTCCCAGGGTCCGGTTCTTGAAGGCAAGTACTTCGAAGGTGGGGATCTCAGGTTTCTTGGAGAGCGTCTGCGTGTAGTCCGAGATGGCCCTGGTGACCGGGTTCCGCACCACCACGATCAGCTTGGTGTCCTTGGCCATGGAGTGAATGCGCTTTGGGGCCTCGTTGGTCACAAAATAGCTCGGCGTCTTCTCCATTGTTATTTGTCCATCCAGAGTTTTGGGCATCACGTTCCTGTAGAGAAAGGAACAGGAGAGAGAGGAAAAGAGCTTAGTTCTGCAGCAGGAATTTAGCTCCCAAGGAAACTCAGCCATGTGGGTTCCCCTCCGGCCCCGCGCAGTGAGTTTGAAGCCTGTGGCCCAGTAAGACTGAGGGCACCCCTCAGGGGAGTGACACTAGCTACCCCATAATCTCTGGAGATCTAATGCCGGTTAGTGTCCTTTGGCTTCAGAACCCGGGGAAGGCAAGTACCTCAAGTGTTAAAGCCGGTCTCAGTAACATATTATACAGTCAATTTGCCATAGGCATATGTAGACAAGAGTTAATTGACAATAAACCTGTACAATACCTGTCTGTACAGCAAGCCATCTGCTACCATTTGCTCAATTAAGTCTATACACTTCAGAGCCTTGTACCAAAGTGGTGCATTTAGGATTACACAAGACCTTTTTGTTATGATGACATGCTTTTAAATGTCTCAGCTAATAAAACTTAATACAGAATAAGATCCCTTGCTTCTAGTACAATAATTAAATTTATTTACTATCTTGTGTGTGAGGAAGAATGACTTTTCTTTTATCTCTAATTCACATGCTCTGTCAATAATTAATTGCTGCTGGGTTTTGAGCTTCCTGCACAAGCACTTTTATTAGCCAAAAGGAATTTGCCTATTAGATAAATTAACATGTAGCAAGACTTTCCTGGATAGTATATTGTCACATTGTAAAATGCAGCTGCAGTCCAGAAAGCTTTTAAATCTAAGAAAATGGAGAAGTAAATGCTTGGCCTATATGGCCCAAGTCAAAGATGAATGTCGCAAACCAGAAGGTTTTAAACCATGAACTCAGTATGTGCATTCGAGCATCTTTTAAACCTTAACTGCTGGGTACCAGGCTGGCTGAAGACCTTTGCTGTACACTGGGCACATTGCGTCCAGTTCACACACACGCTGTGCTGGGCGGGGCTGGCAGGGCGGTACGCTCCCAGGAACTCGTGTGTCTCTTCTCACGGCCAGTGTGAGTTCTGCTGATCTCTTGTGGCTCCTGGCTTGAGAACCATTATTTATCAGCTGGAAAATTTACACACCCCCTCCCCCAGCTACAGAAAGAGCAACTGCGCAACATCCTGCCTCGTCCAGCATGCCGGAGGCCTGGCTGCTGCCGCCTTGTACTTTATGTAGTGATTTGCACCTGTGTCACGTGTGTGTGAAACGTCTCCAGCCAGAATGGCGCCATTCAGCACCCACTCTGTGCAGGAGTCAGCGAGGTAAGTGAGGTGCAAGGCAGGCAGGAAACAGGTCCCCAGTGCACAGGGTTTATATCAGGTATTAGTGCCAAGTGTCAGAGCAATGCTCATTGTTTCAGTGTTTGCAATTGGCACAAATCTAAATGTTTTGGGCATAAAATAAAACAAAAATGTTTTACTTTCAGTTCAACTTTTTGATTTTTAAGCTTTGCAGCTATGCTCTCGCTCACACCCACTGTGATGTTTAGCTTGGTGTAAGTTGCCCCAAATGTTGCCTGAGTGGGTAATTAGCAGGGGGGAGGGGGGGTCACTCAGCAGTGGGGTCGAACTCTTAACGTAATACCAGGGCATGATTATGCAAGGCGCTGAGCGTCCCCTAAGAGGAGCTCCTGCATTGCCCGCCTCTTCCACTGGCTTTAATGCAAGGGGGGGCTGCTCAGCATCTTGCAGGATTGGGCCCTTCACATGGGAAACTGTTTTCAGTGCAAACATACGGTGAGAAAATAATGGGTCTAGGCTTGAAACGGGTCTTTAACAGCCCCTTGGGCTCTGCAACCGCAGCGCTACTGCTGCCACCCAGCAGCGCCCAGGCAAACACCATCCCGTGGGGTTACCCAGCGGATAGCTGCAAGCAGAGATGTTTGCTAGACAAGGCCCAGCTAGGTGAACGTGTCACTGCCTTGTGTTTGAGACTGTTCAGCGCCGTGTGTTGCTTTACAACCCACCCATAGCGTGTGCTCATGGTTCCCGACGTGACACCTAGCAGATGAAGTTCCAGGAACCAGCTCGGAGCTGAAAGGCTTTGGAAGCTGGTGATAGATGGCTTGAGTTGTCCATATTGCCAGAAGGGCCCAAGGCTGCCTTATGGTACTGAAGGCAGGAATTCCTTTGGCAAAGCGGTTTGCTAGGCGGCTGTGGGCCCCCCCACACACACTTTGTGATCCTGAGTCCCAGATTTCCAGTCGCTTCTGGCAGGCTTCCGCTCTGTACCCCACAATGCACAGCACAAGGAGCCCCCCTGAATGCTGCATGCCCAGTAGGCACCAAGTCCCTGACATGTGGACACTGCTTCGCGCTGAAGCAGAAAGCAGTTGCGTGTGTGAATACAATTGCTGCGGCCTATCACACCCGCACCAGTTTTAAAGGGCATCTGCGCCAATTAAAGCTTTGTCAGCATGTTTACACCGGTGCCCAGGGGCTCGCCAGGCAGGAGCTGCCAGCTCTGAAGAATGCTAGCCTGCGGTCTGCTCCTTACGTCTCCTGTGGCTGGAATTCAGACTTTCACCACCTTTGGGACACTGTCACCCTTCTTAGCATCTGACTTGCCCCTTGTTCCTTTGTCTCTTTCCAGCTCCCCGCTGCACTGCTCCCCTGCCTGATCTTCCTAATCCCCAGTCTATAGATGTCAGGGAGCCCAAATGTTGTAGCTAGACTGGTCCCTTGCTCTAGGGTGGGACCCTAATATCCCCACACGCCATCACCTGCTGCAGCTTCTCTGATCTCTCCAAATCCAACTCAGACCCAGCAGCGTGACTCTCCTAGCTCTCCATGGACTCCCCCCAGACCCCTCTCCATCCTCTTCCCCCAGTACATCTCTCTCGGGCCAGTTCCTACAACCCAGCCATCGCTGTCTGATACCCACGACTCTCCACTCTTCCATTTATTCTGACCCATCTCTCCAGCCCTCTTTCCCCACCAGCCTCTGAGCCAGCGACTCATTCCTTTTCTGTACCATGCAAATTGCTAGTAATGAGTGAATAGACCAGAGAAACCTCATTAACTTCCTTACAGAAAAGTCCCATAGAAGTTAACAGGGATAAAACTATAGGGTTCTATAAAATTACTTCAAAAACCTACAGAACTTAAGAGAGATTCATACAGATGTGTAGATTCTCTATGAAAGTCTATAGGGCGTTTCCCAAAGAGCTAGGATTTGCAATAGTGTATGAGAAGTAACTCTTCTGCTCTACTCTGCGCTGATACTGCCTCAACCGGAGTATTGTGTCCAGTTATGGGTGTCACAGTTCAGGAAAGATGTGGACAACTTGGAGAAAGTCCAGAGAAGAGCAACAGAAATGATTAAAGTTCTAGAAAACATGACCTCTGGGGAAAGATTGAAAAAACTGGGCTTGTTTAGTCTGGAAAAGAGAAGACAGAGAGAGGACATGAGAACAGTTTTCAAGTACATAAAAGTTTGTTACAAGGAGACGGGAGAAAAATTGTTTTCCTTAACCTCTGAGGATAGGACAAGAAGCAATGGGCTTAAATTGCAGCAAGGACGGTTTAGGTTGGACATTAGGAAAAAACTTCCTAACTGTCAGGGTGGTTAAACACTGGAATAAATTGCCTAGGGAGGTTGTGGAATCTCCATCATTGGAGATTTTCAGAGCAGGTTAGACAAACATGGTCTTGATAATACTTAGTCCTGCCATGAGGCAGGGGACTGGACCAGATGACCTGTTGAGGTCCCTTCCAGTCCTACGATTCTATGATTCTATGCCTGTTCCCCAGGCCAGACTGGGCTCCCCACTTAAATAACTGGAAGAGGTGTGTTTGGAGGAGAAAGGCAACTCAATGCAGGAAGAAACTACATCTCACTACGCTCAGAGCAAAGCTGACAATATTGGCTCTCGAGAGCGAAGTCGCTGAGGGTCTTTTTCAGTAAATACTATTGCGCTGGTGGTTTTCTGATATATTGCACACCAGCCAGCTGGACAAAAGACACTACGAACTGCAGAAACCGCTGCCGATGAGCTACACTGCAAATTCACCCAATCACATTTGTGAAGTTGCACCTGGGCACGTGCAACTTTCCAATTTGCCTGAGTGATTCAAACTGGTGATCACATTCCCATGGAAATCACTTTCACTCAACACTGTGTCTTTGAAAATGGCCAGCCAGAAATAACTCTCATTACAGTATGCGCCCAGCTGTAAATAGCTCCCAGGCTCAGTGTCCGCTCATCAGCTCTTGCAGACGTGGCCTTTCGGTACACACGGTGCCCCTGTGCATTGGCCCGGCCTGCACTGGCCAAGCAATTCAAGCATGGCAACGTAACATTTCTGGATAGATTTCTGAAAACACTGTTGAGAAAATTTGGAACTGAAATGCTAAAATTTCTGCCTGGAAATTAGGCTGGTCTGATGCAACTGAGCAGAACGGATTAAAGTGACAGAAGAGAGCGGACGGATTTCATCAGCTGAGCGAATGACTGACGGCACTTGCAGGCTTGCATGGGGAGAATCCAGCCCTGCGTATGGCTGTGTGCGCTGCACCAAAATGCTCATCCTCCTACCACGGAGAAGGGGGATACGAGCTGCCCCCTTCAAGTAAAAGGCCAGTGTTTACAGAGTGCATCAGCTCAGTGACTTCCCCCAGTGTGCAGAGCTCACTGGCCCTAACGCGATTCACACGTGTGCCATCAGCAGCACATGTAGCCCTGAGTTCTGTGCTCGGTGCTGCTAGCGCTGCAACCTCAGTGGCTTGGTAAATTTGTTAAAATATGATATTGAAGATCAGGTTAGCAAGAATTTCTGAAGAGTAATACTCTATTTCCTTCTTATCAAATCTCCCTCCAGATTAGCAGCAATGCTCTAAATGCACTCAGCTGCAGGGGCCTAATTGCATTCCATAGTTATTGATTTTTGGAGAGCTGATTTAGTTTTATTGAATGATAACAGAAAGAAACACCAGTTTACAAACAGTGGAAGTGATCTGGCTGGCTGCGGCTCCCCCCTCTCAATTCTGATACATCGCCACTCTCACAGAA